GAATCTGTACACTCAATAAAATCAGAAAAGAAATCATACAGAAACGATTAAAGACTATGCATTCCAAAATGTGCCAGAAATTGAGGAGAAGAATATCAGAGTTCCTAATTATAACCCTAAGAGCATTTCGAGAACTGTGGCAAGTTATATATACCTATTAACAATACAAGTGGGGTTATTCAGTGACATAGAAATCTGTGGCCTAATTCAGTGAATAAGAGATCATTTCCCACCTCTAATCTTCATACCAAATTACCTTTTGAGGAGTTAGCACCCCTTCTGATGACCCTAGGGTTAAAAAATGAGAACAGTTCCAATGAACTATTCCGTCATGTGCCCTCACAGATCCCTGTGCATGCTGACACTCTACAGACCTCTCGGAACATTTGACAGCTTCAGCAATAAATTCTGTAAAAAGCCCATTCAAAGGATGAAACTTCACCTTGACCTGAAGTGGCACTAACACTGTTCATCCCAGGAGTCTGCCAGTTAAGAGTCTAAGAAGTTAGATTACACGTTCCTGAACCTGCCATGAAGATGTCTGAGCCCTAACATTATTACATTACACACCCTTTAAAAGGTCAATTTACTTCTCTGGACTTGGCTTCTCTGTCTATAAAATGAGGAGACTGGCCTTATGGGTCCCTTTTTCAAACACGGCCTCTCACAGAGGTTCCTTGTGAGGCTGACTTCACGACCTCTGTCACTGCCAATTCAGATCCCACTAATGACAGCCCATCCTTCTCGGGTGGGCAGAGCACACAGCTTCTCGCTGCCTTCACTCAATTTGTCAAGGTCTCAGATTTCACCCTGTGTGTTCCCAGCTGACAACACTGACCTCAACCAGGGAAAACCTTAGGGTCCCAGTCAATACCTGAGCACCTTTCCAGCCTATTCTTTAGTTTAATAGGTTCGACTGGAAAAAGCTGAAAGAAACATAAATAATTACATATGCCCTGAATAGTCTTTAACCTTTTCCACATGCTACTGTGTCATAAGACTATTTTTTTGGTCAGCATTCAGCTTCAAGTATGGGCTGCATTTTCTCTACATACCATAAAATCAACACTCATTGCACAGAAAAAGCTAAGGCAACACAAGTCCATTAACTCTCATCTCTCCCTCAGTAAACTGAAAACAAGCTCTGATCCTTCCTCCATTGCAAGGAGGTTATGGACAGGCAAGAAACAGCAGATCTGATATGTTAAAAATAATCAAAATAAGGAGAATAATATTTCTCATCAGGGCTGCTATGAGATTGAAGATAATAAATGAGCACAAAGAATGTGTTCAATAAATCATAGTAAGGATTATTATTCATCATCATAAATAGGAGCTCAGTAGAAGAGTCAAAGCCTAGGATGTGTGTTCAGAGAGAATGGCCCCATGGCATGAAATAACGGATAGTGCTGTACAGAGAAAGACATCCAGACCCTTGTGAATCAAACTGACATTGCATAATTCTGCAGTAACGTCCAAGTGTGGGCCTTGGGTGGAGCAGAATGGGGAGCAATGGGAGAAACTCACAATTCAGAGGAGGAAACAGCTGTTTGGTTAATCACTCCAAAGCAATAATGTTTTTCTGCTCTTCCCAAACTTTTATTGGGAGGCGATCCTTTCAGGGACAAGCAAAGCAGATACTTGTTTTCACCAAATGATTATCCCTCATAGCAAAGTGCTTTCTAAAATGCAATTTCAACTAAAGCAATCATCTGTTTAAAATCATCTATTCTGTGCTTCACCATCGCCTACAGAATAAAACTTACAGCACAACTGATGCAGGCCCAGAGCCCTCCTGTCTTGTGTAGCTGGCTAGAGTTTCGCACCCAGCGGCATTGCTGTGCTTTCTCCTCCCCCAGGCTCCCTGTGGTGCCCCTCCCCATCTCACCTGCGCATCATAGCAGGGAGACAGGTCTTGGGCAAATGGGAAGGGTGCTCCTCCCTCTCCAGGGAAATGTAATGCTGGATCATTAACTTCCTACTTCACCCTCTGAATAGGCCACCCTGAACTGCAATTACTGTTCTCCGAACATCTTAGCGATTCACTTTCATATCCCCAGTGCCCAACATGGATCAGAAAAACAGCAGGTGCTCAAAAAAATCTGTGCAATGAATGAATAAATGAACAATAAATGGGTAAGAGGCTGAAGGTAAAGCTAGCAGAGGAGGTGAAGGAAGCACACTTCCTACCCCAGGGGACACTACCTCAACCTCCCCAAATGGGAAGAAGGGAAATAGACAACAGCATGATTCTTCCCACTCTTTGTGGTTCTTATCTTTTATCAGAGATGCTAAACTAGGTGAATTATCATGTCATTCAATGTAGGCAAGCATTCTTAGATTTTTTTTATTTAAATACTTTTCAGGTTATTTTTTATGGGTGACCAGCCACAGCTGTATGCTTTTTCTCCCAGACACTCACCATGAAAGCCACTTTAAACACATAACATAGGCAGGGAGATCCACAGCCGCAAGTGTTCCAGAACATGTGAAATTCATAAGTGCCATCTTGCCAAAACAGTCTAGATATAGTCGATCTTCATTACTTACAGATTCTGGATTGGCGAACTTGCCTGCTTGCTAAAGCAACCCAAAATCCAATACCTGTGGCATTTTCACAATCATTTACAGGAAAAAAATCTATTTGTCCCTACACATATGATCCCAGTGAAGCCTGAGCAAAGTGACACTCAGACTTCTTGCTTTAGCTCTTACACTGTAAAAAAAAGGAGTCATTTCTGTGATTTCATTACTACAGTCTTTTCCCATTTGTGTGATTTTGTTTATGATTTTGCTCTAATGGCTCCTGAGCACAATGCAGAAGTCCTGTTGATGTCCCAAGATGTGACACCCATGTTAGGCCAAGTCCACTTGGGAACAAGCTACTGCGCTGCTAGCTAGCTTGCCATGAATTCAATGCTCATACACCAAAAACAAACGTTAAAGAAAGGGCCTTTCAACAGAAACACACATTAAACAAGCTCATGTTCTGAATGGTTAACAGAAATGTTCTGCATAGACGCTCACCGGCACCTAGTCAGGCATTTACTCTAGGAGCAACAGTTGAGAAATTGTGAATTCAGTGTCTATGACAACTTTGTAGAACATAACTGAATAATTAGAACCAACTAAATATTAACCGAAAGCCATGGAGAAGGGTGAAGGGCACACCAAAGTTTACAATGGATTAGGCAGAAAGTGACTTGGTTTGAATCTAAGACCTCCTACTTGCACTGGCCACGTGGTCTTTTTTAAGACACTAAACCCTTAACTGTCTTACTTTCTTACCTATGAAATGTGGTATGATATCTTTTTAAGTCCAGCATATCTCACAAGATCACAGACAAAATCGCTAGATCTTTCTTATACAGTGGGCCCTTGATTATAAACTCAATTTGTTCCTGAGGGCTGACTGTAACTCAAGTTGGTCAGTTGAAGGCTCAGGCTCCTCCTCACAGCCTTCAAAGTCTCTCTCCTGTATACAGGCAGATCTCAGCGTCCTTAGAGAAACATCAGCCCAGGATTTCTCAATTAATCCCACACAGGCAAGGATGTTGTCATGTTCCTTCCAGAACTCTTTAAGGGTTAAATCTGTATCTGAGACCATCTGGAAGCACAAGTGGCCAGCATTTGGGTTGTAACTCAAGACTTTGGTCATAAGTGAAAACTAAAATTCAGGTCATAGCCCAAGTTATTCATATGTTAGCCTAGATCGTAACTGGAGGGTCCACTGTATATGAAAAAACACTTTCTACTCTTGAGTGTTATGCAAATAAATTATGAATTTATGTCATCTTCCAAACATAAAAATAGAATTTTTTGCAGTGAAATGCATGTAACACAATACAGACTGCATGGTGAAAGGCTAGGGCCTTCCTATAATCCCTATGTCACTGTGGGAAAAGGCTGAGCATACAAAGACAAAATCAGGCTGTATGGACTTAGAAACATGCAAAACTGAATTGGCTGAACAAACCTGAAGAAAAAAGTGAATAATTATGACCACTCCCACCTACCTGACCTTCTCCCACGATCCCACTGCTCTGGTCCAGCTTGATGCATCAAGCCCTGGTAAGACCCCGCTACCTCCTTGTGATGATATTTCTTCCACCCAATAGCTGAAATGGATCCTCTGCTAAAGTGATTCAGAGCCAAGGTTCTAAGGTCAAAACTCGAGCTCTAAAACTTATAAGCATGTGAATTAGGAGAACTATTTAAGTTCTCTAGGCTTCGGCTTCCTCCTGGGTCCTTGTTCTTGGGGTTGCTGTGGAAGCACTGGATTGGTGTCATCATTAGGATTCAAGCTCAGCCCAAGACCTCTCCACCCACCACCCTAGTCCTGGATACTTTCAGCTACCTCAAAGGGATCAGCACTGACCTAACAGAACCCATGTCTGACTCCCCTGCAAAGACTTAGCCATGTTTTGTGTTGTTGATTTTGATCTGGATCATAATAATACAAAAAAAAAAGTCAGGATTATTGTTTTTATAGATCATGAAACAAATCTGTGGTCATTATGGGAAATACAGAAAATAGGAGAAAATACAAAAAAGAAATGAAAAATTATCCATAATCCCACGACTTGGAGACACGACTTTTAACATTTTAGAGTATTTCCTTTTAAAGAGAAGGTCTTATGTTCCAAAGGACAAGAGCTAAGTCTTAATCTTGGAATTTTCCCAGACTCGTCCCTGCTCACTACTCCTCGGTACCACCAGCACCTAATCCAGCATTGGTAGCTAACAAACATGTACACCTGTCCCTTAGCTGACTGACACACTGATTTAAGTGGCTCCTCTATACACTTATATGTATACCATGTAGCTACAGAAATCTCGACACTGTTAGAGTGACGTAATTTGGCTCTTTGCAGGGTTTAAGCTGCTAGAAGTGTCTTGGGTCTCTATCATTTGTAGCTATTGCTTATGTATAGTGGTAAAAGTGTGTTTCTATTTGGAATCTCACATTTCCCTTTTCAAAATCCTCAAATTTCACATACCTACAGGAATGGTCATTCCATGAATTTTATCAGCCCAGCCAGCGTAATACCGAAGTGTTTTGATGACGCCTTGCAAATCCACATAAAAAGCTTGGAGGAATGGTTTGCCACCATTTAGGGACTCCATGGTCTGTAGGGAAAGATATGGAGAGGAACTAAGTACCGAGAACTTTCCACCTATACACTATTTTCTGGAGCAAAAAAAAAAAAGGAAGAGAGAGAATGTAACTGAGTATGATTGGTGATGTATACCTGTTCCATTCTGACTTCCAAATAAAGGATTGGTTCTCTAGGAGTGCAAGTTTGGCTTACTTTCTAGTAAACAATGAGTGTGACTCTGTGTGTGTGCGTGTGTGTGCATGCTCTTGTGCCTGTGTGTTTCCAGGAACCACCATCCAAATACAGAAATTCAACAGATGATAAAGAAATGTTCTGCTTGTCAAACTGGCTTCTGTTATATTAATGGTCATAGCTGAATGGAGATTATTTTTTGAGTCTTCACTAGTCATTTAAATCCATAAAGAGAAAAGGAGACATGGGCTCTTTATGCAATTGATGAGAATATATAACATCTCCACAGTCCCCAAGACCCCTGCTGAGAAATGGAACACTCACAGTGCACACTGAGTTTATTTATTACCACCAAATAAACAAAATCTCCTCTAGGGAAGCCTCAACTTTAACAAGTCAAAGGCTGTCTTTTGTAAATATTTATGTTAACAACCATTATCTATTAAGAATAAAGTATCTGGCCCATTTAATAAAAACATTAAACAGCTTTACATTATAAACATTATTTTAATGGCATGCTCCTAAATTGATTAAATCTATAACCAAAACCATGATAAAGGAGTACAATAAATAAGAGTATTTTCATTTGAGACATACTAAAGGTATTATAATTTTAATAAATGAGAGCATATATTTGCCATTTCGTGTCTTTATAAGGAAATTGTACATCACATACTAGTGTAAAAATTATTTGATGGCTAACAAAGCTAAAATTGAAATATTCTTCACTCAATAAGATAATTCTGTTTATCTACTTACTACCTGTATCACTGTATTCTGGCTGAACTTTATTAAAGGGTTTTACATTATTTCCTGGGACTTCTCAGAACATTTGTATCCTCATAAGATGGCACTACGTTCTCCAGGAAGCTGCCATAGAGCCTAAGTCTACAAATCACAGAATGAAGGAGTCAATACCTGGAACTGGGCCACACAAGTGGTCCCCATGAGAGGCTGACAGTAGGGAATCCTCCTGAGAACTACCAGCCCTGTGTCTATTCTCGTGTGTGCTAACTTTGGACTCAGTGGTAACTTCCATTTTCTCCATCTTGAGCTCTCTTTTATTCCAGAGGCTGCTTCTTATGGAAATTACTTCTCCTGTACTTCAGAAGGGTTTCAAAGGCAGAATCGAATTTGCATGTGGTGGGAAAAGAGACTTGGTCTCAGTAAGACACATGGTAGGAAAGGGGGGCATTTGAGTTTTACTGCATGAAAATATAACTGCAGAAGTAAACCACATCATCTTCTGGTACATATTGTTAGTCTGACACATCATATGCATGTATATAACTCAGACATTCATTGGCCATTTATGTGCCAGGGACTGGGCTAGGATGACCAAAAAACAGAGTAAACCCTAAATCTGATTCTTAAGGCAAGTATAATTCCAGTGAAGAGACAAACGTATACACTAGGATTCCCCAAGGTATTTGGAGGAACTCAGTTTTATATATTAGAGGGTTTGCCAGAAAAAATAACGTTGAGGTAATATAAGTTTGAGGGGCATTGTCGAACCTTTCCAGGGCCTGTAGTCTGGGACGCTCCAAGAAGGAGCTACTTCACCACGAAGCACCTTCCTCATAACATGTGTGAACACTGCTGGGTTTCTTACAGCCAATAACATGTTACATACCCTTCAGTTCCAATCCATCTCCATAAAGGAATCATCTTTGTTTCCATACTCTGGGCAGATCGAGGGGGTGACTGGAGAGACAGTGGGGAAGGCACAAATGCTCCCCTCCCCCAAAGCAAGTTAACAGGAGTGGCTTGAATGCCCAGAATGAGGAATCTAAACATTACCTGATCAATGTGGCCATGGGCGGCGGGGGTATTTGTATTCTCAAAAAAATGGGGTTTGTATATTAAAAACAGCAACAGAAACAATAACAACAAAAACCACTAGATAGGAGAAGCTCCTTATGTCGGAAAAACGTTCTAGTAAAAAAAAAATGTTGTCTCTCCTTTCTCTAGATTCTAGAAAAAGATGATAACTAGAGCAGGATGTGTGAGAGGTCCACATCCTGCTGTGGGCATCAGAAGGATTTGATCCATGGGCAAGTCAAAGCTTGTCCTACTTGATCCCAGGAGGACCACTTGTCACTGGTCTTCTCTAATCAATTTGGAGACTCTTCTGTTGCTTGAGGAAGGACAATCCTTACCAATTAGGGGATGTTACCGTTTTTCCTTTACAATGCCATGAGAAAAGATGCTCCGCTGGTGCCTAACTTCCCTACCTGACCTGATTCCAAAACCTTAACATCTTTCACTCCTCATGAAAATTATGCATGCACTAGCTCTCCCCCCAGTTCCGCTTGACAGCATACTTTCAGAAAGACAAGGAATCCAAATTCCAGCAGAAAGGTGGACTTGGGATAAAGGTGTACTGTTTTCTTAGGCTACTTACTGCAAGAATTGCTCGGTCTCGCTCCACCAAGTCTGCCAGCTTGTCCAGAAGACGTCCTCTCTCCGATGCATCCATCCTTCTCCACACTGAACCAAGAGAGAAGGCCAAGCGGGCTGCCTGCACGGCTTTGTCTATGTCTGCCTGTGAGAGAGGAAGGGGCACGACTGAGGAGAGGAACACTACATACAGGAAGGACACAGGCTCTAGCAAAAATGCGATGCCTATGTGCAAATACCACATTTTCTTTATACATTCGTCTCTTGATGGACATACAGGCTGCTTTAAAGATTCAGCTATTATGAACTGTGCAGCACTTATGCATGTATCACTGTAATACGATGTCTTTAATTCTTTTAAGAAGATACCTAGGAGAAGAGCTGAGCTGAATGGAGTTTTTAATTTTAGTTTTTTGAAAGTCTCTGATTTCCATAGTGGTTGTACTAGTTTACAGTCTCACCAATAATTTAGAAGGGTTTCTTTTTCCCCTGCAGCCTCACCAGCATTTGTTATTATTTGACTTCTTGATGATACCCATTCTTTTTGGAGTAAGGTGGAATCTCAGTGTTGTTTCAATTTGCATTTCTCAAATGGCCAGAGACACATACACACAATGGACTACTACTCTGCATACAGAAGGATAAACTTGAGTCATATGTAGGAAAATGGATGCATCTTGAGACCAAAATATTAAGTGAAATAAAAGAAGCACAAGCTTAAATATCACATGGTTTCTCTTATATGAGAAATCTAAAATACGAATAAAGACCAAAATAAAATATGGAGAATAGGAAGCAGGGAGATCGATCTTTTCCAAAAGAGAAGTGAATCAAGAGCTGGAAGGTGGAGGAAAAAGAAAAGAAGGGAAAAATAGAGGAGAAAAGAATGAAGATGTGTTACGTACATGTACCAACTAACCACGAGGATTGTAATCATGCACTGCAGACATGCACCAATGAATATAAAACTTTAACAAAATAAGTGACGCTTAAACTAAGCAATGGTGTCTTGGGAGCTCACGTGCTGCTCCACTGTCCCTACTGCAGAGTCTTTCTGAGAAATCCGTACCTTGTCTGCTTCTTCAACTTCACACACTTGTTCTCCCGTGGCTGGGTTATAGACTGGGAACACTCGCCCACTCTCTGAGTTCTGCCACTCATTGTTAATGAAGATCTAAGAGAGAAGACAGCAGAATGCAGTCTGTGACTTGGGTGATCCAAAGCCAGTCAATGACCAAGCAGCATGAAGTGCCACAGTAATGACACTAGCCCTGTGCATGTGTCTTTTAAACATTCTTTATTTAACAACCAAGTTACTTTCCTGAGACTAAGTCGTTAATTGAATTAGTTGCTAAATGAGGAATCCTGTATAGTATGTACATTACAATATTCAGAACAAAGAAATAATGTGATGATTTTGCTTTTATTTGAATAACTCTTCCATGCAGTACTGTAGCATATAATAGAACGTAAAACTACAGTACTGTATTGCACAGTACAATCCACAAAAATTACAGTACTGTGCTATAAAGGAGCCACCAGAAAGCTATCCCGTCGCTCACACTCATGTGTACAAAGTTGGAATGTGGGTTATAAGTTGGAGCAGTGTACCTCAGTCATAAGTCTGAACAGTCATTAACCAGGCAGGTCATTATCGAGGAAGGTCTTATAATGAAGTGTAGAATTGGAAGTGTTGAAAGGTACTCTAAACAGAGAGAAGTCCAATTCAGGAATTGGACTTCAGTTCACTCCCAATTCAGGAATTTCCTCTATGATAACATTTGCTTCAAAGTCATCCAAAGACTGACTCTAGTTCTTACTATAAATACAGTGAAGATATCAAGCAATGAGAGAGAAAGTGAGCCTGCAAGGTCAGAATCTCATGTACATACAACCACACAGTGCGGTTAGGAAAATAGCTGTTGACAGTCCAATCTCTGCCAGTATCTACAGGGGTTAAATGGTGGCTCACACTGCAGTCCTCCATTGGATTGACTGGGGCTGGAAGAAGCATTTGCTGCTCAATGCATTTAAGATCCCAAGTCAAGCAGTGACTCTGACCAAACCAGTGCACTAAGCTTCAGGCATAAATCTAAGATTTCTTTGGCTTTGCTGAGTGGGCTACACAGGTTAGCAAATTAGTCTCTCTCAAATTCCTTAAGAAGAACAATTTTCTTACACATGAAGTGGAGATTGTATTAAAATGGTGAAGAGATTAATAATTCAAGATTATTCAAGTCAATTGTCATAAAATTTTAACAAGTTAAAGAGGGAAGTTAAGTAATGAGATTTTATAATTTTTGCTGACATTGAAAGAGAAAATCAAACCTCAGTAACAATTTTTGGACTATGAAACTCAAAAAAAAAAAAAAACATGATGATGTTTTATTCTGTAAATCTGCGGCGTCACAATGAGTTTCTGAACTTATGAACCAGTTATCCAGACAATTTAGGACAAACACAATGATAAATTTATTTGTTACTACTTGCTACTGTTTAATAATCATAAATGAAGCTAAATAACTCTAACCCTAATATTAAATTCTAGAAAGTGTCCCAAAACTTTCTGTTCACATTTCCCCCTTTGTTTTGTTAAAGGAATGAGCCTGTGTGGAAAGAGGCACTAATTAAACCAGAATCTTCTCTTCCCAAAGGCTTTTTGAGACAAAGGGAGAGAAAAGACCTTAAATCTGCACAGTGCATAATACAAATGTACCAATCACAAACACTAGGGCCTTGTAATTGCATAACACTTTACAGTTTATAATACAATAAGCATAATATACTATTTTATCCAATAAATACCTAGATATTTCTAGATAGAGAAGAGGCAACATGTCTGCCCACTCCCCAGAAACAAAATATGATCTCTCAATAACAAAAGAAAAGAATTAAGAGTTGATTTTCATTAGGGATTTAGTTCTGGGGTATTATTAAGTGTAAGGAAGAAGAGGTCTTTCCAGTGTTCCTTACTCCTTTTATTTACTGAATGACTGAATCAGACTTCTTAACTTTTGTAATAATATAAAGGTCCACTGAATCCAATTTTAGTTTTTAAGTTTCTTTGTAGAGCAGTTCTATTTATAAAGATTTATGACTTTTATTATTTCTTAGAAGTCTTCCAAAGGTGGAAGAGAAAAATTATTTATTTGTAATTGGACAAAACCCATTTTCCTATTATTAATATTTAAGTCCATTGATTATTTTTTTAAATCTAGGATGCATTATGGAATTACATGATCTTGTATTTCTTGTATCTTGAAACATTTTCCTAGTTCAACCTAGAATTTTTTTTTTTTTTTGGTACTGGGGATCAAACTTAGGACTCTGTGCTTGCGAGGCAGGTGCAATGCCACCACTGAGCTAAATCCCCAGCCCCAACCTAGGAATTATTTAATTATCACTCATGAATTATTTCCAACTATGTTTTTAAAAATTAAAATAATTAAGCTGGGTGTGGTGGCATACAACTGTTGTCCCAGCACTCTGGGAAGCTGAGGCAGGAGGATTCCAATTTCAAGCCCAGGCCAAGAAAATTAGTGACTTAGAGAGATACTGTCTCAAACTAAAAAATAAAAAGGTACTGAAGGTGTTGCTCAGTGCAAATGGCCTGGGTTCAATCCCTGGTACTCAAAAATAAAGTAATAACAAAAAACTATAGAATTGAATAAATACATAAGTCACTGCTATTATACCTTTCTTTATGGTGTGTCTTAAGTGCATCATCTTTCAAGAAGGTATAAAATGAGTTCAGAGACATCATCCTTGTCACCTTATTTTTAGCTTTCATTGAACACAGATAAGAATACAGAATGTTTAATTTTCTGCCTATAATGCAATAGAGAGGAAAATGAACACAGACATTGCACAGTTAGTAGATCAGTGAGAAGACAGACGGAAGCACTTAAGACACTACTGGGGGGTCAAACTGACTACATAAGCAAAATATTGGGCTGTCAGTCTTCAGGAGAAATCCATTCGCTCAAATTCTAACCAAAGAATCAACAGTGTGTTTATAAAGACCAAAGGATATAGGATCATCTAGCCCATTAGTCATTCAGCAGGAAGGATTTCATCATTTAATACCTTGCAACAAGGACCTGGCCCACTCTGTTTTAGTGGGACATGTGACATTTCTTTTACCTTTGCTACTTGTGAGTAAAAATTTACTTAATATGACTCATATATTAACAAATTCTAGAGATATACATATATTTGTGATTTGAGGGACAGAGGTCCAAAAATAAAAGAACGTTCACGAGGCTGATCAATCTAACATTTGTAAAATTAAAATGAAATTAAACGAAAATGAAAATATTTTTGTACTTATGAAACAAACAGTTGCCATCTTCTACAAAGTTATGAGCCTTCAAGCTTTCAATAAGATTGCATTGTGGTAATGCACATGCAAGAAAAACCGAAAGTCCTGTTGAGGTGTAACCTACTGGAGATGTGTTTTAACCTGGAATCAGCATTTATGACCAAGGAAATGTTCTAGGCTCTTACATGACAGCTGAACACAGTCAACTGCACTCAAAGGCACTGGTCACTTCAGTTTACCCAAACCCCAAAACCAGGAAAATATGGAAAAAAATTGGTTTGCTAATGTTTAAATGATTATTTTGTTGTTTTCATCATCTGCTTATTCTTCTGTAAATTGTTAGTAAAATTATCATAAATTAAATTTTTGAAGAAATTTTAAAAGGGCCCATTGTAACTGGATGTTACCAGTTACATAATGGTTATTTTTCCTGGTATGCAAAATGATAAGATTTTTTTCTCCTGTTATCAGATTCAGCTTTATAATGATATTGGGGGGCATTGAGAATGAGTCTTGCTACATTGCACAGGCTAGCCTTGAACTCACAGCAATCCTCCTGCCTCAACCTCTCAAATGCTGGGATTACAGGTGTACACCACCACCCCTGGCTATATGACATTTTAAAAAACTATACCAATTGTATTGCTGGTACATAGGATAGCACATACATCTACAACACTTAAACATTTTTGGCTTCTCGGGGCAATTTTCAAAGTTTTCAATTCTGTCTACATCACTTTTTCTCTGACCCAGTCTCCTAGGAGAAATGGTTTATTTCATGGTTGTAGCAGAGAAAGTACAATATTAGATCTGGAACATTATAGCACCAGAAATCAAGTAAATGGTCAAAAATTGATGGGGATGTAATAAGAAGACACAGAATCTGTGTTGGTGAGCTTTCCCATTGTTAACATAAAATATGTGAGACCCACAATTTAAAGGAGAGAAGTTTATTTAGACTCATGCTTTTAGAGGATTCAGTCCATAGTAAGCTGGCTCCAAGGCAGGAACATGGCAGAAAGGGTGTGGTGGAGCAAAATTGCTTATTTCATGATGACCAGAGAGCAAGGAAACAGCACCAAAAAGGAAGGGGGTCAGATATAGTGCTCAAGGTCAGGCCTCTATGTCCCATTCAGACAAACCCACATGATGCTTTATGAATCCCTTAAGATGTTCACAAGCTAATCTAATTGATCCACTAGTTTAACTATCACATTCTACACCATGCCAACCTGACACCCAAACATATCCCCTTAAACCGCACTTAATCTCCAAGTAAACACAAGGTCATAATTCTGCCTAACATGATATAACTATCCTGTATACAACTAAAAATGTATTCATTCCTTCCCTAAAGTCTTAACAGTTCCATCATTTCTAAAAGTCCAAGTCAAAGTCTCTTCTGAGACTCAAGGAAAATGCTTATCAATGAACACCTGAAAATTTAAAAAAAGTAAGTTAATTTAATTCTTAAATACCATTGCCAAAATGACACTGCACAGGGTAGACATTCCCATTCTAACAGGAAAGAACAGAGGGATAAAAAAGAACAGAACCAGAAAAAGGTCAAAATGCAGCAGGACAAATATTAGTCCCTGTAGCTCCATGCCAGAGATGCCAAGGCACACAGTGGTGAGATGTGCATCCAGAGGGTTGGGTGGCCCCACCACCATGGCCTTGCCAGTTGCAGCCTACACAGCCTCTGTCTTGGGCAGGCAAAACTCACTGCCTGTGGCTTTTCTCAGCAGATGGTCTATGTTCCTGGCATCTCCACCTTTCTGGGGTCTTCACTGCATCTTTGGCTTCTTTCCCACAGCTTTGCATAGTCCTCTCTCAGAGGCTCCTTAGCTGGC